CCTCCGGCCCAGGTCCCCAGTCCAGTTGCTGTGTCTAGCCAGGTAGTAGTGTCCAGTCCGGTCGCTGTGTCCAGTCCAGTCGCTGCGTCTTGCTCCTGTCGCTCTCTCGCCCACCGCACCGTCCTGTGGCACCACCGTCTTGGCCACCCGTCGATCCCTCGCCTTCGTGGCATGCTCAGTCAGGGACTAGTCACAGGTCTCCCACGCACCTTCCCGTCGCTCCCTCTCTCGCTTGCCCCTCCTTGCTCTCCGTGCGTCGCCAGTCGCTTACGCGCCACTCCCCACTCCTCCTCCCTTCGTCCGGCCACCGCTCCCTTCGAGACTCTCCACTTGGACGTCTGGGGCCCTGCCCCGACGCAGGGGTCTGGGAGGGAGCGTTACTTTCTGGTGGTCGTCAACGACTTCTCCAGGTACACCACAGTGTTCCCTCTTGCGAAGAAGTCCGAGGTGACTGCTACGCTGATCAGGTGGCTTCAAGCCACTGAGTGCACTCGTGGTCGTCGAGTCAGTTGTCTCCACTCCGATCGTGGGGGCGAGTTTCGCTCCGGCATTCTCGGCGGATTCTGCGGCGAACAGGGCATCACCCAGTCCTGGACGCTGCCAGAGTCCCCACAGCAGAATGGGGTTGCTGAGCGCCGCATAGGCTTGGTCATGGACATCGCCCGCACGTCCATGATCCATGCCCGTGCGCCCCATTTTCTGTGGCCCCACGCGGTTCGCTACGCCGCACACCAGCTGAACCTCCAGCCGCGTGTCTCGCGGCTCGAGGCTTCACCGACCAGTCTTTGGACTGGTTCCCCTGGTGTCGGGTCGGCCTTTCGAGTATGGGGCTGCCTTGCGCTTGTTCGCGACACCTCCGCGGACAAGCTCTCGGCACGCGCCGTCCCCTGTGTCTTCCTTGGTTTCCCGGTGGACTCTGCCGACTGGTCCTTTTACCACCCTCCCCTCCACCAGTTCCTAGACTCCCGTGACGTCCGGTTTGACGAGTCCGTGTCCTACTACACCCGGTACCCCTGTCGAGGTCTCCCGGTACCCCCTCCCCCTCTTTTCCTCGCACCCTCTCCTCCTCCTGCTCCCGCTCCTCCGGTACCCCCGCCCCCCCCTGGTCCTGCCCCGTCTGGTGTGTCCCACGCTACCCCTCTACCCTCGGTCGCGCGTCAGGTAGCGTCTCCCTCCCCGCAGTCCTCCTCAGAGTCCCCTCAGCAGCCTTCGGCACTTCCGCGACAGGTTACTGTGGACTCGGTTGGTGTTGGAGCTGGAGGTGCAGCCGCTGGCGGTGCTCGGTCTGGGGGTGCTCGGTCGCGGGGTGCTGGAGCTGGAGGTGCTGGCGCAGGTGGCACTAGCTCTGGGGGTGCTGGAGCTGGAGGTGCTGGCGCAGGTGGCGCTAGCTCTGGGGGTGCTGGAGCTGGAGGTGCTGGCACTGGAGGTGCTAGTTCTGGGGGTGCTGGAGTTGGAGGTCCTGGCACTGGAGGTGCTGGTTCTGGGGGTGCTGAGTCTGAGGAGACTGACGCTGGAGACCCTGGTTCTGCGGAGTCCACTCCGCCTCCCCACCGCCACGACACGCGTCTCCAGGCTGCCCGTCGGCGTGAGCGTGAGGAGCAGGAGCGGTTGGAGAGGGAGCGGCAGGAGCTGCGGGTGCTGGACCTTCTGGAGCAGCAGCAGCAGCAGCAACAGCAGCAGCAGCAGCAGCAGCAGCAGCAGCAGCAGCAGCAGCAGCAGCAGCAGCAGCAGCAGCAGCAGCCGCAGCCGCAGCAGTAGCAGCCGCAGCCGCAGCCGCAGCAGCAGCAGCCGCAGCCGCCGCTGCAGCAGCAGCAGCCGCAGCCGCCACTGCAGCTTCCTTTGGAGCGGCGGTTGTTCCCACCTGTGAGTGGCCTGCGGGCCCTTGGCCTTACCTCCTCTCCTCCTGTCCGCTCCCAGTATCCTCCTGTGTTTGTCCCTCCGTTGCCTCCTCCTGACGACCGTCCGGCGGTCTGGTCTTCTCCTCCTCTTCAGTCTCCTCCTCCTTCTGCCTGTCACGACTTGATCACTCGTTGTCCTCCACGTGCCCGTCACTCGTCCCCTGTTACTGACCTTCACACAGCCCTCCTTTGTTCGTCTCGTCGTCGTTCTCCTGTGTCCGTTCTCCCGTCTCCTCCTCCGTCCTCTCTCCCAGCCCTCCCCACTCCTATCTCTGACTACTACCGCGCTGTTCGTCCTGTTGCCGCACGTGTCCTCGCCACTCTTGTCACCGACTCTCGTTTCCCTCCGTCGTCTGCCTCGGCTCTTACTGCCGCTGTCGCTGAGTTTGCTGCCGCCAGCCGCCTTGACTACGCCACCCGTGTGGTGCCAGCTCCTCCCTACCGTCCTCTGTCCGTCGGGGGTGGGTTTGCCCTTGGCTGTGACGTCCTAGAGGACAGAGAGTCTGAGCTGGAGTACTGGGCAGCCGCTTATCCCTCTGTATGTGCCATGCTGCTCTCCCCTGAGGGAGACCCCGACGCCCTTGACATACCGACTCCTCGCACTTACCGCGAGGCAGTGTCAGGGGCGTGGGCCTATCAGTGGAAAGCGGCTATGGACTCAGAGTTGGCGTCTTGGAGATCCACAGGCACCTACGTCGACGCAGTTCCCCCTCCCAGGGCGAACGTAGTCGATGGCATGTGGCTCTTCAAGGTGAAGCGGCCGCCTAGAGCACCGCCGGTGTTCAAGGCGCGCTACGTGGCTAGGGGCTTCAGTCAGCGTGAGGGAGTTGACTTTTTCCAGACCTTCGCCCCGACCCCGAAGATGACTACTCTTCGGGTGTTACTCCACATAGCAGCGCAGCGAGACTACGAGCTGCACTCCCTCGACTTCTCCACTGCGTTCCTCCAGGGCCGACTGCACGAGGAGATCTGGCTGCGCCGTCCTCCTGGCTTCACTGACACCTTCCCACCTGGGACCCAGTGGAGCCTGAGGCGACCAGTCTACGGTCTCCGCCAGTCGCCCCGTGAGTGGCACGACACTCTTCGCTCCACGCTTCGTGACCTTGGGTTCAGCCCGTCCTCCGCCGACCCGTCGCTGTTTGTTCTATAGGTAAGTAACGCACTTACTCTTCGTACCAACCATATGGGTAAGTAACGCATTTACTCTTCGTACCAACCATATGGGTAAGTAACGCACTTACTCAGGTGAAGTCCGAACTGCAGAAGAGACACAAGTGCACTGACCTGGGTGAGCTGCAGCGTTACCTTGGCTTGCAGATCACCCGGGACAGAGCCGCTCGCACCATCACACTGACGCAGTCACACATGGTGCAGCAGGTCCTTCGGCGGTTCGACTTCCAGTTCTCCACCACTCAGCCCACTCCTCTTGCTGTTGACCACAGACTCACGGGCTCCTTTCCTGACGAGCCCTTTGAGTCCAGTGGACCCTACGCAGAGCTGGTGGGCTGCCTCATGTACCTGATGACTTGTACTCGACCGGACCTCGCCTTTCCCCTCAGCATCCTTTCTCTCTTTGTTGCGACTGGGAGACACCGCCATGTCCACTGGACAGCTGCTGTGAGGGTGGCGAAGTACCTGGCGACTACATCAGGCATGGGGCTTGTGCTTGGAGGGACTCAGCCAGTGGCGTTGACTGGTCACTGCGACTCTTCCTACGCTGACGACGTGGAGACTCAGCGCTCAACTCAGGGTTACTGCTTCAGTCTGGGAGCTGGTGCTGTGTCGTGGAGGTCTACACGGTCGTCGTCAGTGGCTACTTCCAGTGCAGAGGCAGAGATCTACGCTGGTGCCATGGCGGCACAGGAGCTTCGCTGGTTGACCTTCTTGCTCGCCGACCTTGGTGAGCGGCCTCGCTCTGCACCGACCTTGTACGCTGACAACAAGGCCATGATCCTCCTGTGTCGAGAGCCTCGACTGGAGAGCAGAGTGAAGCATATTGACGTGAGGTACTTCCTCCTGCGAGAGCTGCAGCGACGCGGTCAGGCACGCCTGGACTTTGTGGCCTCAGAGGCCAACACTGCAGACGTCTTCACCAAGGCCTTGGCGCTTGGTGACCACCACAGGTTCTGTGTGCAGTTGGGGCTTGTTGAGGTAGGCCCTCGGTTGCTGTAGTCGTGTTGCTTGCTCTGCTTGTTGTGCTTTGTATTTATATCCTAGTGAACTCTTGAACTGGCCTTGTGGCCGCTTGCTTGCGCTCGGAATTTGTGTGGTGTCCTTGAGATCCACCCTGAGCTTGCCTTGGTTCTTTCTTTGACTGGTCTTGTGACCGTTTGTTCACCTTGCTTGCTTTGATGCCCCTCACTTAGCCTACGGGGGTGTGTCAAATGTTGAACATTGATATGATAGGCTGTAGTGAGTTGCACTCTAGGGGGTACAGCTTCTAGGGTTGCTTATTTGTACCCCATTCGTTTCTATTCCAACCATTTCCGTTGCTAACCACTCTTGAGAGCCGTATGGTCTTAGACTCCATAGAGAAAGAACTCTAGAGTAATCTAGAGAACTAACTCGTTTTAGATAGTATGTGGACAATCTGTAGTTAAAGCATTTCAGTTTGTGAAATCCGCGCACTCATAACAGTAACCCACAGAAAATAATGCGCCAAATGAGAGGGCTCACACGCTCCTTTCCTTTCCTTTGGTGTACATCGTGGCTGACCGCTCCGCCGCTCATTGCAAAACCCAATTCCCCAGGTTTCGCTCCACGTACCCGAGCCGACGCAATTCCATCTCTGACCGCGCCTCGGTGTGTGTGCTGCCAAACATAAACCAACGGGCCGCATTTTGCAAATTCGTCCTGGCCGTCTCGGCCGCACTGGCCGATGGTGTTTTTGCTCTCACGATTCCCTCCGTTGGTTTGTGTTCTCTGCTGATGCACTGCACATGCCAAAACGTCGGGAGGGTATAAATCTAGGCTTCTTTCTTCGCTAACCATCAGTCGCTCACCGTTCTATCACTCCTCGCCTACCGACCACTGCCCGCCCGACCAGCAAATTCACTCGAGTGACTGAGCTCAGTTCAAGAGGTGGATCTAATTTGCGGGAGAATGGCGTCCGCCAAGCTCGTCGCGCCCATGGTGGCAGTGTGCGCGTTGATCGCAGTGCTGCTCGTGGCAGCCCCATGGCATGTGGAGAGTGCTGCGATTGCCTCTGAAGGTATTTTTTTCACGCATTTTCTTAACTTTATCCCCGTGTCTCGAGGAATTATGTCAACCACAAGTAACTGCTGCACTTCGCAACCATTTCGCCGATCATCCACATTTCGCTAATCCATTCGTTCTATCCGTTCCGTCTTTTCAGGTGGCGACGCTTCCGGAAACGAATTCTCGTCTCACTTCAGCCATGGCCGCGTGCTCAAGCACAAGAGCTCCGATACAAGCAGCTCCGGCTCTACTAGCAGCTCCGGCTCTACTAGCAGCTCCGGCTCTAGCAGCAAGAAGTCGAAGAAGAGCGACTCGACTTCGTCAGGCTCGTCGCCCTCCCCGTCTCCCGCGAAGAAGTCGAAGAAGGGTTCAAGCGCGCCGGCCACCTCCCCCCCTCCTCCTACCAAGTCGGGGAAGAAGGGTAAGGGCTCCGACGTTCCCGCCTCTCCCCCTCCGCCAACCACCACCGGAAAGAAGGGGAAGAAGGGCGGAAGCGGTTCCACTCCCGCCACTCCCGCCACTCCCCCGCCAACTACCACCGGAAAGAAGGGCGGACACAAGAACTGGACCGCCCCTGCCACCCCCACCCCTGCCGTTCCCGCGCCTGCTACGAGCGGAAAGAAGGGCGGAAAGAAGGGCGCCAACTCCGGCGCTGGCGCTGGCGGGTCCACGCCCGTGGTGGTGAGCAAGGCGGACCTGAAAATCCAGGCGTCGCTCAAGACGGCCGCCGGCGGCGTGCAGAAGGCGGCGGACACGCTGGGCGCGAAGCACAAGTACTACGCGAGCCTGACGGCGACGGTGCAGGCGCTGACGAACGCTGGCATTCTGATCGACGAGGGGCAGCGCACGCTCGTGCAGGGGCAGATCGCCAACGCCGTTTCCACCATCGACGGCGTCTCCGTTATGCTCGACCCCGTTAACGACAAGAAGGTTCTCTCGCAGCTCGCGTCCGCTAAGGCCACCGCGGAGGCCGCTTCGAAGGCCTTCAAGCCATAGTGTGACTCCAGAAGCGTGGTAGTCTGAAACACACCTAGCGACGTCGACAAGCGTAGCAGCCGTTTGAAGCTTAGTGGTTAGTGGCGCCAGTCTTTTGAGTTGATAAATAAGAGGCGACTTTCTGACGTATGCACGATGTAATAATTGTTCGTGTATCCGCGCTATGTTTGAAGTACCTTTCTTTTTGTGAACCTGCCTTCAAAGCATTTGCCGTTCGCATATTTCTTTCATACCAGCACACACGCGCTCTCACTCCGCATTTCGATCGATGGCTGCACGTTGCCGAGAAAGAAGTCTCAGAGACCGCATGTGGATGAGGTCAGCTTATGATGTGTGCTCTCTAGAGCGTTTCGGAACTGCTGTTCACCACCATGCTTGAACGTACCGTGACTCTCCCTTGGTCGTGTAAAAGACGCCTAAACAATTCGACATGGCGCTGATGATTAGTCGACTTGGATTTGGAAGGAGGAGGTAGTGAGGGCTTCTCGATGACCATGATAATTACAGCAATTACATGTTTCAGGTATTGTGCATTGAGTATGGACTGGACAGGTTTGCTAGGTGTTGTCCACACAATGGTACCGGTATAGTGGCTCCCGCCTCTGATCAGGAACATTTCAGAACCGAACAAGATACCACCACACTGATCTAAGAGCAGTTCAAGACACCTCATTATACTTAGAACAGTTCTGTAAAGCAGCAATCACAAATATTGCATTACAACACACTCGCAATCTCCACATAGAAACCACATTCCAAAAAACAAAAGCAAGGGCTTTATGCGGACAAAACCATAGGTGGGCACACGCTGCAGCATCCACTGCCACACCTGGCGAAGGGAAAAAAATTGCCACAAGCTACCCAGAGGCGTGGTGGAATCACAGCGCGTTGATAGCTGTGGGCTCGCACAGGGAGGGCTGTGATCCCGCTTCACTAGGGAGTGGGATGTATTGACGAGTCGGACCAAGGCGGTAGGCTGGCTGGACCAAGGCGGTAGGGTGGAGCAAGGCGGCAGGGTGGAGCAAGGCGGTAGGGTGGAGCAAGGCGGTAGGGTGGAGCAAGGCGGTAGGGTGGAGCAAGGCGGTAGGGTGGAGCAAGGCGGTAGGGTGGAGCAAGGCGGTAGGGTGGAGCAAGGCGGTAGGGTGGAGCAAGGCGGTAGGGTGGAGCAAGGCGGTAGGGTGGAGCAAGGCGGTAGGGTGGAGCAAGGCGGTAGGGTGGAGCAAGGCGGTAGGGTGGAGCAAGAGTGTGTTGTTAGAAGCGAAAATCCGGAGAGACATCCATGGCCCATCCGAACTTGGCAAGCAGCGACTTGTTGAAGATCTGCGTGGGTGGGTGGCAGTCGACGGGTGGCACGCATGCAGGGGAAGGGGGGCAAGGAAAAGGGAAGAGTGTGTTGCTAGAAGCGGTATTCGGGAGAGGAGAGAAATCCATGGCCCATCCAAACTTGGCAAGCAGCGACTTGTTGAAGATCTGAGGTCGGTGGGCGACAAGAGAGAGGAGGCGTGCAGGGGAAGGGCGCGAAAAATAAGGGAAGAGGGGGAAAGGGAGGGAAGAGGGAGTATACGTGTGGGTGCCTGGGTGGGTAGGGCAAACAGTGATTGATAAAGAAAGGTGAATGACACAGAATGGAGCAAGGCAACGTGGAACGAGGAGACTCTTGAAACGGTGGGGAGAGCACACGAGTCCCTCGCACTGGCTTGCTTGTGGCTGGCGTGTGCCTCGTGTGTGAAAGGCTTGTGGCTGGCTGGCTTGCGATGCAGGGGTTTCTACACCACCCCCTCCTTCTCTATAGGCACGTCGTGGCGCTTGCACCAGGCGACTGTGATGCGCGGGTCCATGTAGTTGATCTTGGATGTTCTGCCGCACCCTCGCTATAAGCACATCATGCAGATTGCAACACGTTACACACCTTCTCAATGGGCACCTCATGGCGCTTGCACCAGGCGATGGTGATGCGCGGGTCCATGTAGTTGATCTTTGATGTGCCCAGCGCCACCCACCCTCGCTAAAAGCACGTCACACAACTTGCAGCCAGGCTCACACGTACCTTCTCTATAGGCACCTCATGGCGCTTGCACCAGGCGATGGTGATGCGCGGGTCCATGTAGTTGATCTTAGACGTGTGGAGTGGATAGAGTGAGCAAGCCCCACACGCACGCACCTTCTCTATAGGCACCTCATGGCGCTTGCACCAGGCGATGGTGATACGCGGGTCCATGTAGTTGATCTTTGATGTGCCCAGCGCCACCGTCTTGAGCTCGTCCTTTATGCTCATGTCGAGTTTCATCTTCTCCAGCCGCGCCTTGGATTGTGCCAGCTTCTTCTCGAGTCTGTGCGCACACAAGGGAAGGGAGGGGGACGGAAGAGCGGAGAGTAAGAGGTCGAGTGCGGTGCAGAAGGATTCAGCTCGTCCTTCATGCTCATGTCCAACCTCATCTTCTCCAACGGCGCCTTGGACTGCGCCAGCTTCTTCTCGAGTCTGGATAAAGACACGATGAGAGGAAGAGGGACGGAGAGGTGCCCTTTGATATGATTTCGAGCTCGTCTCGTCCTTTATGCTCATGTCCAGCTTCATTTTTTCCAGCCGTGCTTTTGCCTGTGCCAGCTTCTTCTCGAGTCTGGATTAAGACAAGGGAAGGGAGGGGGGACGAGGAGAGGAGGAGGTAGGAAGCATATGCATGTCCATGTGCATGTATGTGTGCATGTGCGTGTGAGTGTGCATGCATGTGCATGTGGATGTGTGTGTGTGTGCGTGTGCATGTGAATGCAACATAGAACCAGCACCATCAGACTCAAACACATGCACCTCGCCCATCACACAGCAACACAGCTTGCACTCACGCCTCGGGGTTGACCTTCCTGGCGCCCTCGCCTTCTTCGCTCATCTCTCACACCTAGCTAGCCCATCACACATCACACAGCAGCACAGCTTGCACTCACGCTTCGGGGTTGACCTTCCTGGCACCCTCGCCTTCTCTCTTCACGGGCGGCCGTCCCTTCTGTGCTCGATCCAAATCCTCCTCCATCTCCTCCACCGCGTCCTGCCAGGGGGGGATGGGGGAAAAAAAGGGGGAGGGGGGGCAGGGGGAGATTGGGAAGTTCAATGCACTGCTTGCCTCCACTCTTGCATGCTCGATCCAAATCCTCCTCCATCTCCTCCACCGCCTCCTGCCAGGGGGGGATGGAAGGGAGAGCAGGAAAGAGAGAGCGAGAGCGGGGGGGGAAGAGTCGGAGGGTGAGAGTGTGACGTTGAGAGCACTAGTTGACTCCGCACTTGCATGCCCAATCCACGTCCTCCTTCATCTCCTCCACCGCCTCCTGCCAGGGGGGGATGGGGGGGGGGAAGGGGGGAGGGAGGGGGAGGGCAGGGGGAGATTGGGATTTCAATGCACTGGTTGACTCCTCACTTGCATGCTCGATCCAAGTCCTCCTCCATCTCCTCCACCGCATCCTGCCAGGGGGGAGGCGGAAGTGGGAGAGGGAGGGGGGGGGAAGAGGAGGAGAGTGTGAGGTTTAGGCCGTGCCTCCACACTTGTGTGCCCGATCCATATCCTCCTCCGTCTCCTACACCGCATCCTGCCAGGGGGGGATGGAAGGGAGGGGTGGTGGAGGAAGGAGGGTAAGGTGGAGAGTGGAAGGTTCAAGACATCTCGATCCGCGCTGGTTGTCGCAACAACCACAGACACAAACACAGAGACACTCACACACAGGCCAGCCATACAAACACAGCTCACCTCCATCTGCGCTGCATGTGCCTCGGACACGGAGCGCTGATGGTCACACGACATGGCGGGAGCAGCAAGCACAGACACTCACACACATACACACACACTCTCACAGACAGACACAGCAACACACGCACAGCTCACTTCCAGCTCCTTCATCTTGGCTTGCAGCTTCTCAATCTGCGCTGGATGCGCCTTGGACACGGCGCGATGGTGATTGCACGAGGTTGTGGGAGCAGCAAGCACAGACATACTGACACGGCACAGTGACACACAGCACACCCCACCCACCTCCAGCTCCTTCATCTTGGCTTGCAGCTTCTCCATCTGCGCTGGATGCGCCTTGGACATGGCGCGCTGATGGTCAATACAAGCAGCAACCAGAGACACAGACATGCACGCACAGCTGCCAGCCCACCCACCTCCAGCTCCTTCAGTTTGGCTTGCATTTTCTCCATCTGCGCCGAATTTGCCTTGGACACGGCGCGCTGATGGTTGCACAAGGTGGTGGGAGCAACAACCACACACACTGACATGGCACGGCGACACACGCACAGCCCACCCACCTCCAGCTCCTTCAATTTGGCTTGCATTTTCTCCATCTGCGCGGAATGTGCCTTGGACACGGCGCGCTGATGGTTGCACAGAATGGCCACCTCCTTGTTGGCGCGCTGGTAGTCCGCTACCTTCTCCACCACCAGGCTCCCTACCGTGTCTTGCAGCTGGATTGGGGAAAAGGGAAGAGAGAAAGGAGGGTGGAACAAGGAAGAGGGAGAGAGACATGTCAGCTCATGCCCTCCTGGTTGGCGCTGATAGTCCGCTACCTTCTCCACCACCAAGCTTCCTACTGTGTCTTGCAGCTGGCGGAATGGGGAAAGAGGAAGGGGGAGAAGAAGGAAGGAAGGGGGTGGAGACGGGTTCATTCATGCCCTCCTTGTTGGCGCGCTGATAGTCTGCTACCTTCTCCACCATCAGGCTTCCTACCGTGTCTTGGAGCTGGGCACACAGGTGGATGGGAAAGAGGAGGAAGGTCGGATGAAGGACAGAAGACAGGGTGAAGGGAAGAGACTCAAGTCGCCTCATTCCCTCCTGGTTGGCGCGCTGATAGTCGGCTACCTTCTCCACCACCAGGCTGCCTACTGTGCCATGTCTTGCAACTGATGGTTCACAATGAACAAGGGAGGAGGTCGGAAGACAGGGAGAAGGGAGTGCGTCAGGTCAACCCATCACCTCCTTGTTGGCGCGCTGGTAGTCCGCTACCTTCTCCACCACCAAGCTTCCTACTGTGTCTTGCAACTGATGGTTCACAATGAACAAGGGAGGAGGTCGGAAGACAGGGAGAAGGGAGTGAGTCAGGTCAACCCATCACCTCCTTGTTGGCGCGCTGGTAGTCCGCTACCTTCTCCACCACCAAGCTTCCTACTGTGTCTTGCAACTGATGGTTCACAATGAACAAGGGAGGAGGTCGGAAGACAGGGAGAAGGGAGTGCGTCAGGTCAACCCATCACCTCCTTGTTGGCGCGCTGGTAGTCCGCTACCTTCTCCACCACCAGGCTGCCCACTGTGTCTTGCAACTGGGCGATTGTGGAAAGGGGAAGCAAGGGGAGACGGGGAGATGGGGAGATGGGGAGAGGGAGAGGAGAACATTGCCTCATGCCCTCCTTGTCGCCGCGCTGGTAGTCCGCTACCTTCTCCACCACGAGACTTCCTACCGTGTCTTGCAGGGCGATTGGGTGAGAGAAGGGGGAAGGTTAAAACACAGGGAGAGGAAGAAAGACTTAGGTCGCCTCAGAGCAAGAGCGGCAGAAACGGCCCCTCCAACTACTGTACCTGCCACCAGAGTCGGCCTGCTGCACCCCCTTCTGCGTGCACACCTACTGTCTCACCAGTGTACCAAGCCATACAGACACGTTACAAGCGCACTCACCAGCGTGTCGAGGGTAACCGACGCGTTGTAGGTACGGAAGACTTTCGCTGTGAGCCCGGGCATGATCTCCTTGAGGTGCGAGTTGAGCCTCGTGGTGTCGAGCTTATCAAACAGGTCCTCGTCCTTCTTCTTGCCCTTCCTGAACGTCCCTATCGCCTTGTACACCAGCGGCTCCACCTCCACCGTGTTGAAATAGCGGATCGAGTCCTTACCCAGGAAGTCAAACTGTGGCGGGGTGTGGGGGTGGGGGGTAGGGGTTGGGTTGTATTGGAAGGGTTGGATTGGAGTAGGGGGAAGGTGAGGGGGAGGGGGGAGATGCGAGCGCGGAGAGGGGAAGAGGCGGGTAGAGAAGCCCTTTTGCCACTCCATCGCCAGTCAAGCAGGTTCCCATCCTTCTTCCACCTTCCTCCCAGGAGGAGGGGTGGGAAGGCGAGGCCTTGTCTTCTAAAAAACAAAGCGGGCGGCAAGCTGCGCATAGACACTGCAGGAGGGGTGGGAAGTCGACAGCGAGGAGGCCGACACTGCAGAGACACGAATTTGACATGACAACAGGGCAGCACCATGCGGTTATGATTCATAGTTACACGCTCCTCACTACATAGTTAGATGTCTCAGAGCTTGTAGTTATATGCTCATACCTGTAGCGAGGAGGGCGGCACGAGCGTGACGTGCTCCACTTTGAGCGAGCAGCAACCCACCGTGTCCGCCTCGTCGTCGTCCTGTGCAGATGGAGGGGAGAGGGGGGTGAGGGGAGGAAGACAGGGGGATGAGGAGCAATGTGGGGTGGGGGGGTAGGAGGGAAAAGGGGGCTCCCTTTGAGCGAGCAGCAACCCACCGTGACTGCCTCGTCGTCGTCCTGTGGCGATGGAAATGGGTAAGGCAGAGGGGAGCAAAGAGAGCATGAGGGGCGATGTGGTGGGGGAGGCGGGAGGGGGGAGTGCATTCCTTGGAGCGAGCAGAATGCCACAATAACCACCTCGTTGTCATCCTGGCGAGGTGTGGAAAGGGGAGGGGGTGAATGCAAGGAGGGGGAAGAGGGGTTAGGGGGCAAGGGAGGTACGTGCCCCAAAATGAGCAGCAGCCCAACCTGCAACCGCCTACTCAGTGGGGGAAGGGAATGGAGTCTTGTGTGCTCTCGCAATACCAGCTAGTCATGACAATGGAAGCCTATTGTCCAGCCTATCGTCAATGACAAGACTTGTCATATCGGACTCTCTGTCCCATGCCTCATGCACTCTGCCTCATTCCTAGAGTTGAGGAAGGGTACCGCTGCCGCTAAATTCAATGCTCACAAGGGCCACATGGAAGGGTCACAAGGCCCACATGGCTCAGGTCATCTCCAAGGTCGCGGAGCTCAAGGCCAGTGCAGTGGCATCTGACACCACCACGCCATGCCATGCCTCCACTCCACTAACATAACATGCATTCATATGAAAACGCAAGCCGCACTTCCAAGATCAAGACGTGCGCTGTGTCGTGTCGCTTGTCTCTTCCACACTCTCACAATTCTCAGGGCGTTCTTAGACACGTGACATGACATTGGACGCCTTACAAACCATGAGAGTGTTGAACAGAAAAGTGACGCAGCGCAGGTCTCGATCTTGGGAGTAGGCATGGTGTGGTAGTGTCAGTCAGGTGACCACTGCACTGGCCTTGAAATCAGCGACCTTGGAGATGAGATGAGATGAGATGAGATGAGATGAGCAATGTGGGCCTCGTGGGGCATCCTCAACTCTAGGAACTGCACGAGCGTTACCAGGTTACCTCCATCCATCCACACCTTCTACCCTTGCACCTGCTCCACTGCTGCCGCTCTGCCCCCACCTTTTCATTCCCTGCTCTCAGTGCGAGCCGGTCAATGAGGTACGTGGCAACGGCCACCTGCCATATGCCCCATGTCCCCCTACTCCCCTGTGCCCCTACCCACTCCCCCCCACAAGGCCCCACCTTCTCGTTGCCTGCTCTCAGCGCCAGACGATCAATGAGGTATGTGGCGACAGCCACCTGTCGTATCTGGTCGTCCTTGGATGTGAAGTGTGCGTGTCCCATGCCCCTTTTAACCCGCTATCTCCCCCATCTCACCTTCTCATTCCCTGCTCTCAGTGCCAGCCGATCGATGAGGTAGGTTGCGACAGCCACCTGTCGAATCTGGTCGTCCTTGGACGTGAAGTGCTTTGTGTACGTGGCACGGATCTTGCCTATGTGGTCCTGGGGGGGTGGAGACGGGGCAAAGGGGGGAGGGGGGGTGGGCGTGGAAGAGGGGAAAGTGGCAGAGGCAAGAAGGAAGAGGTGCTTTCAAGTCGTCCTTGGACGTGAAGTGCTTCGTGTACGTGGCGCGGATCTTGCCTATGTGGTCCTGGTGTGGGTAGAGGGGGCAGTACGGGTGGGTACGGGAGATGAGGGAGAAGGGGAGCTGAGCGGTGCTTCAAACACATCCCTGGAGGTGAAGTGCTTTGTGTACGTGGTGCGGATCTTGGCTAGGTGGTCCTGGTGTGGGTGGAGGGGGCAGGGGGTAGTAAGGGTGTAAGGGACTGGGAGGAGGGAAATGCATTAATCGTGTCCTTACACGTGAAATGCTTCATGTGGGTGACGCGGATCTTGCCTATGCTTACCTGAGAGGGGCAAGGAGGGAGGGTGCAGGGAGGGTGCGCATGGGAGACGGGGAAGAGTACACAACAAGCAATGAGAGGTGCTTGAGCCTCATACTTGGAGGAGAAGTGCTTCGTGGAGGAGAAGCCTCATACATGGCTGGCACGGATCTTGGCAATGCGCGTGCAAGAACAACAGCACTTACTTTAAGTTTCCGCGCCTTCTCGTATTTCTCCTTGTCTGACAACCCCTTGAGGCGGCTGCTGGGCGCCAGGAAGACGTATTTGAAGTCCTTCTGGTTGATCGGGTCGAACCAGTACGCCAGCCACGTGACTGTGTTATCATGCCGCACCTCCTTCCACCTGCCACACACACACGTGAGTGGAGTGGATACCGAACATGACGTGTTGATTGAGAGATCTCAGTGCATGTGTGTGGGCGGCACGACAATGAAAAGATGGCACGTTGAAACACAAATCAAAACACATTCCGCATTCAGCCATCCCGCATTCAATCACTCAAGCAATATCATTCACCCGTGAAAGACGCGCAACCAGGAGACCCACCTGTGGCCGGGTATGGGGCATTCAGGCACGGGTGCCTCCTTGCCTATGTTGATCACAATGTCCTCGGGCATTATCCGCCGCTTTAGCTTGCCCATCTGCAGCGGCAGACAGGGAGGAGGTAGAAGGGGAGCAGGGGGGGGCAGGGGGAAAGGCACCATGTTGATCACGATGACCTCGGGCATTATCCGCCGCTTCAGCTTTCCCATCTGGCCAGGAGGGTAATGCAGGGGGCAAGTGGAGGGATAGAGGCGAGTGAGAGGGGGAAAGGGGCAAGGGGAAGATGCAGCGTGGATCACAATGCCCTCGGCATTATCCGCCGCTTCAGCTTCCCCATGTGCAGCGAGAGAGAGGAGGAAGGCACAACGAATGTTGATCACAATGTCCTCGGGCATTATCCGCCGCTTTAGCTTTCCCATCTGCAGCGGTGCAACGAGAGGAAAGCGAATGGTGTGGGGTGGGGAAGGCGAATGGTGTGGGGTGGGGAAGGCGAATGGTGTGGGGTGCAACGAGAGTCTCAGCCTCAGGCCAATAATCCCTTCTCCCGCCTGCCCATGAGCCCATGTGCCCTGTGTGTGTGACACGCTCAAACGTTCATGGTAGGTAACTCACTGCCTCCAGGGTGAGAATTTCCTCCCTCCCAACCCTTTCTTCCCTTCCCCTTTCCCCTCCCCTCCCTTCTTCCCCCACCCTCCCTCCCCTGCACCCTTCCTCCGGAGCCCCTCACCCCCCGACCCACCTTGGGATGCTCGCCCCGCCCTCTGAACAGCCCTGGCGGTTCCACCAAAAAATCCCCTCCCCACCTTCCATTTCCCTTTCCCTTCCCAGAAGCCCCTCCCCCCCACCGACCTTGGGATGCTCGCCCCGCCCTCTGAACAGCCCTGGCGGTTCCACCCGGAAATTGCCGACCTGAACAGGCGGAGAGGGCCGAGGAACAAGGAGGGACGCGTGGACGAGAAGGGCAGACGAGACGGAATGAGCTGGAAAGTTGATAAAGATCCAGGAGACATTCACTCACATGCTGCAACATATGACAGGAGATGATGGGACATGGCACGGCCCGACATGACCAACAAAGCATGACATGACATGACATGACATGACAGAACAGAACATGACAAAACATGCACTGCTCACCTTCTCCCTCAACCCATCGATCACTGCATGCATGTACTTCTCCTCTGCCTTAAGCTTCTCCTCCTTCAGAGCCTTCTTCTCCTGGTGACCACACAAAGAGACGCACACGAGAGAGGATTTCTTAAGCAAAAGCAAAGAATAAGGGCCTTCTTCGTCTAAAAAGAATCAGCTTCTCCTTTTTCAGTGCCTTCTTCGCCTGATCACTGCATGCATGTACTTCTCCTCTGCCTTTAGCTTCTCCTCCTTCAGGGCCTTTTTCTCCTGGTGACACACAAGGGAGGAAGCGACGAGAGTGCTGTGTGTGAGCGAGTGGGCTACTGAAGGGGTGTTATGTTAAGAAATGGGACATCGCTCGCAGGATGTTAAGAAATGGGACATCGCTCGCAGGATGTTAAGAAATGGGACATCGCTCGCAGGATGTTAAGAAATGGGACATCGCTCGCAGGAAAACACGGAGTAAAAACGCATGTGCCTGTCACAGGTTACCTGTCTGTCTGTCGCCTCCCACCTCCTCTCCCAACCACCCCCCGTCACCGACCATCCTCATTCCTACCCTCAACCCCTTCCTTCCCACACACACTCACCTCACTCGTCATCTGCTTCTTCTTCTCCTTCTCAGCCAGATGCCACTCCCAAACGAGCCCTCTACTCACCACCACGTCACCTCTGTAACCTTACCGCCAAGCCCATGTAAATCCCACCTATATGCTCAGCCCCTCAAGCTCACCTCACTCGTCATCTGCTTCTTCTTCTCCTTCTCCGCCAGGTGCCACTCCCAAACGAGCCCTCTACTCACCACCACGTCACCTCTGTAACCTTACCGCCAAGCCCATGTAAATCCCATCTATATGCTCAGCCCCTCAAGCTCACCTCACTCGTCATCTGCTTCTTCTTCTCCTTCTCCGCCAGGTGCCACTCCCAAACGAGCCCTCTACTCACCACCACGTCACCTCTGTAACCTTACCGCCAAGCCCATGTAAATCCCACCTATATGCTCAGCCCCTCAAGCTCACCTCACTCGTCATCTGCTTCTTCTTCTCCTTCTCCGCCAGATGCCACTCCCAGATGGGCGTGAAGTCACATAATTCAAGCTTCTGAATCACGTGCCTCTCACTCACTCTCCCATGCGTCACCCTCACACCCATACGCCTCTCACCCATACACCCATCTGACTCTCCTCAAAACGCTCTGAACCGCTCACCTCACTCGTCATCTGCTTCTTTTTCTCCTTCTCCGCCAGGTGCCAGTCCCAGATGGGCGTGAAGTCACACAACTCCAGCTTCTCAATCACGTGCCGCGCTCCCAACCGCTACCCTAACACCCATCTGACTGACTCTCACCCCTACACCGACCTGTCTCTCTCTCAAAACGCTCTGAACCGCTCACCTCACTGGTCATCTGCTTCTTCTTCTCCTTCTCCGCCAGGTGCCAGTCCCAGATGGGCGTGAAGTCACACAATTCCAGCTTCTGAATCACATGCCGCGCGCCCAGCACCTTGCGCCAGTCGTTCCAAAAGTTCTTCAGAAACACCGGCTTCGTTGCGTACTCTGTCTCCCGCATCACTGCAAACATCGTGGCTACCTGCAAGGGGTGGAGTGGCATGGCAGGGGGCATGGGATGGCACGATGAAATGACACATTGGCTTCGATGCGTACTCTGTCTCCCGCATCACTGCAAACATGGTGGCTACCTGTGAGATGGAATGGCAAGAGATGACATGAGTGAATGCATAATGGGATGGCCCAAGAGGGATGGAGCACGGGGATGGGTAGGGCACAGAACATAGCTGACAGGGCAGGCAGGACAGAGGGCACAGGGCAGGGCAGAACAGGCAGGGAGGACAGGCAGGGCAGAACAGACAACCGTCGCTCACCTCTTCCTGGGCGGGCGTGAGGTCGACGGGCTTGCCATTGTACAGCATCTTCACGCCATGGGGCGTGTAAGGCGGTGGGAAGATCACACCATTGTGGGAAAGCGTCTTCCACTTCACAGAATTGTCCTCCTTCTTCCCCTTCTTCGCCCCTCCAGCCTCACTGCCCTTTGCCGCGCCCTTCCCTGCTGGCTTTGTCGGTGTCTTGGCCGGCGCTCTGGCACCCGGCTTCGCACCGGCAGCACCGCCGGCAGCACCCCCACCCGCCCCGGCTCGTTTCGCTAGTGGCACGTCCTCGTCGCTTTCAGACTCGCTCTCCTCCTCGCTCCCCTCCTCCTCACTTCCCTCCTCGCTCCCCTCCTCGCTCCCACTCTCCTCCTCACTCCCCTCCTCGCTCTCTTCGCTCTCCACTTTCTCCTCTTTCTTCACCCCCCTGCCCGGCCCGCTGCCCTGCCCGCTGCCCTGTCTGCTACCCTGCCCGCTACCCTGCCCGCTGCCCGGACGCAAGCTCCTAATCGGCTTCTCGTCGTCGTCATCTGCCCGTTCGGGTTTCACCTGCCCGCCTCTCCCTTCCTCCGCTCTCACCCTCCCGGCTCCGCCTGAACCGTTCCCCGCGTTGCCCCCGTCCCTTGAACCGCGCGAGTAGTTCTCCCCCTTTATAGTCACAGGTTCCGCCTTCGCTCGCTTTTCCGCGGGACTCGGCCCGTCGCGACCCCCGCCGCTGCCGTCCCGCGCTCCCCCGTTCCCCGGATGCCGCTCCGCCGGCCGCTTATCTCCCGGTCGAGGCGCCGATCCCGTGCCGGCCGCTAGCTTCCCCAGCGGTACGTCGTCGTCGTCATCCGACGCGTGGCGCGGCTCGCTCTTCATTGGCGGGCGAACGCCGCCATGCGCGCCGGTTCTTCCGCCGCCTCTCCCGCCGCCGGGCGAGGGACGCGGACGATCGGCGGGAGACGAGTGCGGTCGGAGCGGGGCAGCGGGACGGGCGGCGGGCGCAGCAGCGGGCTTGGCGCGTCTGGCCGTGAAAGGCGCATCCTCATCTGAATCCATGGCACGAGATGGCGGCTTTAAAAGACGCGACTCGACGACCCAAGTTTGAGTTCAGCTCGCTTGGACTCAGAATCTGTGACAGAAATACGTGAAGTGCGGGAAAACACGGGGATGGAAAGGGGGGAAGAGACGGAACGAGTGGTTTCCCTGCATGGTGATACCATGGCGCCGTGACGCGGAAGCATACGCGCATAGATGGGAGCCTATTTGAAAAAGACAGGGACGAATCGAATTCTGGGAGTTTCGGTGAGTTCAACGTCGTGATCATTGTTGGGGTGGTAAGGCGTGGCGAGGAGCGACGGAGCAAAAAGGAGATATGCCGGGAGGGGACTTTGAGGAGCCAATTCGCGTTCGCCAGGCACGCGCGTCAGTCAGGATGGGGCTTGACTATGAAGAACGGTGGCGGCGAGGCGACAGATATCAACGGTCGGCTGAATAGAGGTGAATGTTGAAGATACGTCGCCGAATCAGTTCCCTTTCAACTTGGAAATTCGAAGAAACGCGTCGCGACTGAATGGAACAGGTGTAAGCCGGAAGCAGCATGAGCCAGTAAACAACAACAAACATGCACGCGTGCGTACGGAACGAGATAAAAGTGTGAAGAAATACCGCAGCGAAGCGAAAATTAATGATTGACTGGAAAGGCCAAGCAAGCAACACACATTCTGACAAAATTCGGAAGACCCGTTTTGACACTCGGAGGAACATATCGTTGATGCACCTTATTCCACTGCGATAGCCTCGCGGAAACCCACGGAATTTTAGCTACCGCATCCCGCCTTACCGTCAATGGGACAGGCTGGAACCGTCCGAGTGCAAGGCGTGGTGCTCAATGGCTGGCGGATTGACGATGAACGGCCGGCCTCCAGTCCAAACCCTTAATTGGGCGAGAGCTAACAGCGCATAAGACGCCCAACTGCCTGCGGATGTCGCAAACGGGAGAAACAACTCCCAGGGAAGTCGGCCAGGTGCGTAGGCTGGACCTCTGCCTGTTGGTTCTGCTCAGACGCTAAGTCCTGAGACTTGCCTGCTGAGCCGCTAGCTCAGTTGCAAATCCTGACGCTAAGTCCCCAGAGAGCAGCAGGGGTTAGGAGCAGAAGGCAGGAAGAGAAAACAAAAGTGCAGAGAGGAGGAGCTGAGAAGTGAGAGCGACAAGTCTGGAGGGGATAAGCTAAGAGTTATCGCACTGTTATCCTCTATACCGCGGTAAAACGCGCAGTTTTAGTCATGAAACTGACTCAACCGCTGTGTTCAAGAATGAAAGCTCTGTTCACACTTGTGCAAATCCCAAGGAACACCACCAGGCTGGCAGGCAATCCCAAGGGTGACAAGAGCAGGGGGGTCACAGCAGGCAGGGGGGTCAGC